CCCCCCCCCCCCGGTCCTCCTCAAAACGCAGCGAAAGAAAAGTTATATTAATTATAGCCAGGCGCCTTTCTCGGGTTTTTTCGCCCGCTAAGTTGCAGGAAAAGGAAGCCCACCTCTCACCAAATGTGGTCAGGTGGAGTGGAACTGAAAGCCTTCGATGCAACTCGTTTTCGGACGTGCTGTACTTTTCCCCCTCGTAAGATTCCCGCGCCTTAATTTCACAGCAGAACAAGGAGCATTTTAATACCTGAAGACTGAATTTCTACAAGTCGGGTGGCTGTCAAAAGCATAGAAGCCATATTGCAGTCAAAACATGGCAACCATGTGCTGTGTTTAGCTGGTTTCATCACTCCTGGGTGGACTCAGCTGCTGTAAAATTTGCACAGAATTAGGGGTGACTTGGGTGTAATTCCAATGTGTGCCTCCACTGCTTAAGTTACTAAAATATCCGCTACCAGTAAAACATCTTCAAATAGTACAATTTACAACGGTCTTTATAAATAAACTCCAAAGTTCCTTGCCCGTGTAAGATTGTACTACTCTGCCTTGGGATGGTAGAGGAGGGGGAAGGAGGGAACTGCCAGCCTTGGACTTCCCTTGCTAATAAGTCAGGACTTTTCTAATGAATGCTGAAGAGGAACAAGTCCCTATGGTAGGTTTGTCACTTCTCGGCGTACAATTCCCTGTGGCTGGGGGTATTGGGCAAATGATCCATTAAGACATACAGGCCTGACTGAGAAATTGGCAGCTGGGGTACTTTTTTTGCAGTGGCACTCTTCACAAAACACACTTAACTTAGTTGTTCGGATGGAGGGTGTTGTGCAAACACCATAATCCATTCCAGTAACCCAGAAGAGGGTCTCTCTGTCCTTCAACTATCTCTTCAAAACAGTGACAAGGGTGAAGAGGGTCTTGCAAACTGGGAGCTTCCCTAGGTGCTCCATCTCTCTTTCCTTTTTTCTATTCTCCCTGCCCCCATGGAAATGAGGGGATGGCTAACTCCCCTTTCTGATTCTGTCCGTAATGTTTCTGACCTCAAATGGAATACTAAAGGGTTTTGGTAATGTTAACTGAGGGGAAAAAAGGTTCAGATGTACTTCATGGTGGCTTGGGGCCCTTAAAAATGGCCACTGCACTTTCTGTTTGGGTACAGAGTGAGTTAATTCTCATAGTTGACTCAGTCATGTTTTCCAAGAAGACCCAGAGGGAAATATGAGATCTAGATAATATTTTTGATTGGTTACCAAGGGTTAACATCCAAGGAAGATGTTCAGGTCTTAGAACAATTCCTGATATCAGTTATGAACTTGGTAAAGGAGGACAAATTGATGCTTAATCCAGATTGAACAAAGGTGTTCTCACTCAGTAGAAAAAGCAAGGAATTATTGCCCCTTTGATCACCATTTAGAGGGAAAGGTGGGATATACAATAGATACATACATTTTCCCTAGTTTCTTTCAACTATTTAATACCACTTGGTCTAGCTTACGGCCCACTCAAGAGACTCGGATGCAGACACAGAGCCTGCTTTAAGAGGGATGGAGAGGACCCAAGCAGGAGGAAAGAGAAGAAAACTTGCTGCCTTGTGTAGTTTCATGTATGCATGCATTCCAGCCTCCTCCAGTCCATAATAACTCTGCTTTGCTTATACAGCCTTCTTCTACCACCTTTCACTTAAAAAAAAAAAAAAAAAGCAGGAAATACCCAACACATTGGAAGACTGGGTAATACTGGGCTTAATTGGAAGATTGTCATATACCACTTTCCCTTACCTGCCCCCCTCCCCCAGGTATAACAGTAGTGGAACAACTAGGGATGTGCAGAGTTTCCGATCTGGAAGTGAAAAACTGCTTTACAGCAGCTATGGGCTATATTGTAGTGATGGTAGAGGAATGTAACTCTGGCCTTCGAAGGGATATAGAGGCAAAACGGTTACTCAGTCCTGTGAAAGCAGAAAGCATGAGAAAAAGACTTGAAACAGCCCCAGTTTGAACGTGTTATCCTTAAAAAGGTGTAGTGAAGGTTTTGGACACACTTTTGAGATTCTGTAAATAGACCCTACAACAATAAAGTAGCATTCCTGGAATCCCTGCAGTGTCTGTTTCTTGACCTGGCCTATCTGGAAAGTCTGACAGTCATTTATTTTAAATGTGACCAAAGAAAAACTATAGATATCATAGATATAGATATCAAACTATAGATAACAATATAAAGTTAATTTAGTCGTTAAGGTTATCAGTAAATCTAGACTACATCAGAACATATTGCAAGTTATCAGTAAATCTGCAATACATCACAACAAATCATCTTCTCATTTTTGTAGAACACAGAAACTTCTGAAAAATAGATAATAAACTCATATCCTGAATCCATTCCATAAAATCAGAAGAATAAGTTTCTTTCCAGTTATATAAAACTCTGTTCTTTTCTGTGCCCCCAGCTTGATAGAGTAAAAAATGTTGAGATCACAAATCCCATGTTTTCAGAATATAGTTCAACATCATACTGTAATGGGCGGAAGGGATAACCTCAAGGAACAAGAGGAAGATCCGCAACCAAGACAACGGTCAGAAATCTGAGTCCAGTCCAGAACTGTAACATGAGTAACCATCTCAGACAAGACCCTCCCTAGTTCTCTCAAATATAAAGGGAGGGAGAGGGGAAGCACATTCAGGCCTGCAAGATTCTGTTACTATAACATTATAATGAAAGTAGTAGTAGTATGCATGACTTTGGTTTCCTTGAAGGACTGACACATACTGAAATCCTTAAATATATGTCTTGCCAAAACTGTATTGACATGCAACAATTTCAAGCCAAAACAAAGCTATAGTTGGACAAGACCAAATCATATGAGTTAAAATCCTTTACGTTGTTTTACAATGCTAACATGAAAAAATCCAATCTCCATTCCCTTTTAAGCATTCTTTGAGGGGTCCAATAAACACGAAACAATATTTTCTGATGAATTAATTTAATTTTTAAATCCTAAGAAATTCCACATTTCTTAACACCTGGATCCATTGATTCTCCAAAACTAGATATTCCAATTCTTCATTTCACAATTCAGATATACAATTAATACTAACTTTCATTTTACTTTTTAATTCTGTATAAAATTTAATTCTTGGTTTCTGTTCCAGCACTGCATCTCTTAAGGAATCTGAAATTGCAGGTGCTACAGAGACTGCTAGAGCATCTGGGCCATACTGTTTAGTTAGTACATGTTTCAGTTGTATATATTGTCAAGCAAGTATTCTTGATTAATCATACTCAAAATGCAATCTCTCCAAGTCTTTAAAACCACTGTTAGAAATCAACTGCTTCCCTTGATCCCTTGTTTAGCCCAAGCATTCCAATGAAACATCTTCCCCATTATTTTCAAGTATGGTTTATTCCCCAACATCAGTTTCTATTAATAATGAAACATGTCTGGCAGCTTTCAAAGAGGGAAATGAAGATCCTAGTTTAGTACACCTGGACCCTAAAACTTGCCAAGATTTCAAAGGTGTTACACATTTGTTTTCCAAATGGGGCCACCTAGGAGCATAATCATAAAAAGTCTCCCCCAAAATATAGATGGTAAAATAAAAGCCTGGTAAGTTAAAGCTGCCATCATCATAAGGTAGCTTTACATTAGCCAAAGATATCCTAGGGGTTTAGCCTGCCATAAGATTTTTTATCGTTAGCATATCTATCTGTGTAAAATATCTGTCAGAGTTTAACATTATGATCTCTCCTAAAATATACATTAGACTTAATGGGAGTTTTAATCATTGAGTTATATCTTCTGAAATTGCATCTATACATTTAATTTAACATACTGGGATATATTTCAAGGAAGATATACTGTAAACCCAAGTCTGTACCAAAATTCTAATCTCTTATGGTAATCTATAGATATCACAGATCCCAAAGACGATAAATTAGATTTGCTCCACTTAATGATATAACCAGAATATAAATCATATACAGTAGCTATATGAGTTCAACAAGCTTTGGTAATGACATTGCATAATGATCAAGGATAAGGTGTTTCTGAATATGCACATGGTTTTTGCTCAGGACTTTGTCCATCAGGAGGATAATTTTCTAAAGACAGAATGGGAAAAAAATGGTGATGGGAAAATGCTGGCCAATGAAAGAGCTACTTTAAAAATGGTCCAAATGTGGCTGTGGGCTACAGAGAAAAATATTCCAGAAAAAAATCCCCCAGTGCAACACGATGAGTTGGGCAGCAGCTTGGAATGCTGCAGACCACCCCATTCTAAGCACCCCTCCCACATCCCTCCTGGTCACATGATCGAGAGTGGATTGGGTACAGTTTGTCCCATGTTTTCTAGCACACACATACACAGATACACAGATATAACACAAAGGGAAAGCAGAAACACATGCCATACAGGTAGTCCTGAAATTAAAATGGTAATTGGGACCAGAATTTCCATCGCTAAGTAATGTGGTCAGTAGGCAAAACGTCACATTGTGGAAAGCCTTCAGAAAGTTTCTGAGGCCTTCCAAAGCATTGTAAGAACGCGCTATTTGGAGAACAGTGTGAGCAGCCTCGGGAAGAAGGCCTGGTGCGGCCAGCAGCTGCCTCAGTACCACCATAACTTCGAACAGTCACTGAACAAGTGGTCATAACTCAAGAACTAACTGTACATTACTTTGTTACTCTGAAGAAAATATAGCACTTCCTATGCCCACTGCTGCAAAAGGGCTTGGAAAGAATTCCAGAAATCATGTTGTGCACGCTTTCACTACCTTATTCAAGTTCCCGTGGTTCTGTATAAGTTTTTGTTTCATCAGAACACAGGACACTTAAAATATTCTGATAGATCATAGTGGAGTTGTTTTGTTCCAAATTACTTTTTTTTTTCTGCTGTGTGCACACCCTCATCTAGCAGAACTCAAGCTTGTTAATATATATGATCTCTGCATGTTTTCAGTTCAGGTATTGACTGAACATGAGTGAGCTAAAATTATAAAGAAGACATTCTGGAAACTTTGAGCAGTACTCAAAAGAAGCTTTGGTCTTTTGGAGGCCATAGGCAATTCTCTGGCAGAAGGGAGACAAGTAGGAAGCTGTATGTTCGGGGCAGGGGAGGGGGGAAGAGAAAAGTAATATTCTCCCCCAGTCTCTGATTAAAGTTGGAATTTAGAAAGATATTCTAGGTAACATGTTGACACAAAGGAAACATTTGTTCTAAGGATTGTCTAGAGGAATAGGAATAAGCTAAAAACTCTGCTAACATTTTTTTTTCTGTTTTTAAGTTTAATATTTCATCTGTAGTTATTGTCTCTATATACACTCAGACTTTGTGTGCTTTATGCAAATTGGCATCTCTTTATATCAAAGTTGCTTCCACATTGGAACAGATCAGCATCATCTTAGTATCTACTCAGAGCCTTATATTTTCCTGTATATTGTTCAATTGAAGGTTCTTTTAAGATACTTGTATGTGATTTGAACAGCAGTGTATTTTTATCTCCTCTACCATTTGATGGTTTTGGTATAATAATATTTAAAGTTAAAAGTGAATGTTTGTACTCTTTTTCTTTTTAAATGAAGTTTAATTCTATTTATTTCTTGTGAGATTGGTCTACCTCCCCACAAAGGAAGATGGGCTGATATGCCTACTCACACACCTCAAGATTGCAGGACCAGAAGGTAGTGCTATAGAATTTATTTCCTTTTTCATTTTTTTTCTCTTGCCAGAGGCTGTGGGAATTCTGTCTTTCTCATATAGCAGGTTTAATGGAAGGACACCAAGTAGAGACATCCACCTAAAAGAAATCTGGTGGCAGCAGTAACTTCCAAGCTGCACAGCAAGAGGAAATGGAACTAGGGTGTATAGTCTCAGATCATCTCTGGGGGAGGGGATTTGAGGCTTCCAGCCTTTCATTCTATGGACTTAGTCATGATGATCCCACAGCAGTAAAAAATGTGTAGTGTATGTTTAGAACTGGAGAGAGGTTCACATTTTAACCATCTGGACATTCCTCTGTTATCTGTTAATAGAAAGGCTTCTCACCACACAGGAGCCATGAATGACTAAGAAGGCCTTAAGAACCTGGGAGATGCACTGAATTCTAAACAAAATGATCCGTTTGTTGAGATTTCCATAACTTTATCCTCTTTTAATAAATGTTAGTTTAAAAAATGCTGGAAGAATCTTCCTTTCTGTGGAGGTGGGGTGCCCAAGAACTTGACAGATTCTTAACAAGCCACACTCTGAGTGTCGGAGTGCCTTCTGCTGAGTTTGAAACTAGTATTCTAGTAAAGCTGTGTAAAGTTTGCAGTTGGTGATCTACTGCTGAGTCCTCATCAGGGGAGCCTTACACTAAAGGCCTTCCAGTTCCATTCCTATACTACATTTCTTCTCAAAAACATGATGCAAAACATTGGAACAGTCATGTCATCATGTCAGTGGATGGCTTTCTCCAGAAAATTAGCAGATTAAGATTTATTTCAGAAATTGTACACAGCTTGACTAGGTGATTCACTGGGTTACTTCTGATGCCATGCTTCTTTTAAGATTTCTGCAAGTTGTTGCAAATCATTCCATATATACTTAGCATTCATAGCTAATAAGGCTGAGTATCCTTGGAAAATGAATAAGAAGTTCAGATGGACTTCATTTGAACAAAGTACCTCTACTATTGATTAAAAAAGACTGTTTTCCACATGAGGCTGAAAAAGATGTCACTGCTTCAAGGAGCTGACTCATTTAAGTTTTGGAACTTTTAAAACAGCTACAAGTGTATTTTATCTATAAAAGGGGTATTGGATGGAAGAACAGTTGCTCACCTATTCATGGAACATTCTTCCTTTGAAATGTCTTTTTGGAGGTAATTTTAAACTAAGACATCTAAAAACATCCAGAATTACAGCTTATCTTCATATTTAACTATGTAATGCTTAAAACATCAGAACCAAGGCAACATTTCTATTAAATTTAAGCATGGTACTATCCTAATCATATAGAAGTTGATTTAAAAAATGATAGGCAGAAGATTCCATACTTTTATGGTTTATTTTTCTGCAGATTCTCCTTCCAGCCATTTTTCTCCAAATAGAGGATCTAGTAGCTGAAGTATCTCCTGATTATTGGCTGACTGATTAATATCAGTTTAGAGATGAGTTATCACCTTTGGATTAGTTGTCTTTGAACAAGTATAAGGCAGCATACAAATAAAATAGTTATAATTATACAAGATAGAGAGCAAACAAGTGAAGTCCATATGACAAGCATCTTGCAATCCCTCTAGAAAGACAGTACAGAGAGATGTGGGATTTGTTGTACCTTCCAAGGTTAACTGAAATGTTAAAACTGTGCAATAGTTTATTACACTGCTATTCAGCAGCATTCACAGCAAACTATGGTGATATCATGATACAAATTTTCCCACTGTGCTTGAAGTTCCCTTTACAATGAGATTACTCCAGAACAAGGTAATTGGTTTCTACTGTTTGTGAAGAGTAGATACTATGGAGAAAGAGAATTGGGTGTGTGTATAATGTTCATATAATGGGCACAGGTTCTGATGTAACTTTACAGTTTCATCCCACAAGGGAAGTGGTTGCAAAAAGAGGGTAAAGTATTTCTGCATAGATACATATTTTAAACCCTTAGACTTTATGTCTATTGTTAGTGAATTGACTCAGAAAACCACCTCCTCTAGATTTATATGACCAAAATAAGGTCAGCAGGCTTTGATGACTACTTTGAGTGTATGGAAGGCCGTGGTAGTTAAGAGTGTCGGATTAAACTAGGTGAATTGAATTCAGAGCCCTAGACTTGCATTTTTTGGGATGACTTTAAACTAGTTACTGTGTCAGCCTAGCCCACCTCATAGGTTTTTTATCAAGGTAAAAGAGAGAGAAAGCTAAGCAGACTGCCCTGAGCTTCTGATGTGGTAAAATAAAAATATATCAAAATACTAGTAATCATCAATAGCATCTAGTTCATGCTAAAATAACACATGCGTGAAGTCTCTATAACAGGAAGTGTATATTAACTACTTTTGGGGTTTATAGAAGGGCCTATTGATGTATTTTGTAGAAAATAAGACAGTGCACAGCCTTTGAAAAAGGTGTTTTGCAGTGCAGGGGAATCTGTACAAAACACCTTTCTGAATAAATAAAGGAACTCGGTCTTTTTTTAGATTTGCACCATTGCTTCATAAGCTGCTCCCAGCTGTTTTCATATGTATATGTGTGCACAGCCATTTTGCTTCACTGGGAAGAAAGAAAGGACCAGACTGCTGCTCTTGTCTCCACCTTGAGCCCTTGTGCATTCTATGAAATGCCTGAATGGGGACAATATTAACAAGAACAATATATAACATATGATTTCCTAATGAATGTGCCCTTGTATCTAAGTTGCCAAAGAACAGTGTTGTGCTACATGGAATGCCCAAGTATTCAGAGGGCAGATAGTTATGTGAGTGTCTGTTACTTGATTTACCAATCAAGGATAACACTTAATGCTTCTGATGAAATGAGCTTTAACTCAGGAAAGGTTGAAAAACAGCAAATCTATGAGCTGTAATTGTATATCTGTGAGTAAATGTCATTAAACTCAGTAGGGCTAACTTCTGATTGGACATGTATAAAATCACATTGTAATACTATTTGCAATTGAAAAAAAAATTAAAAACTGAATTGAAAGTTTTGAGCCATTTCCTAAAATGTAGTAAGAAGCAGGCAAGCCTCAACTCCAATTATATTATGTTCCACAATATACAGTAGATGGCTAAAAACAAAGAATACATTAAAATCCCCAATAGAAGACAGTCATACCAGCTGAAGAAAAACTCTTGAAAATACATATACATATTTTCAACAGCGAATGCACACCATGTGCTAGCCTGGGGCATGGGGAAACAGCCAGGTCTTCCGAGCTCTCTTGAAGGCCAGCAGGGTTGGAGCCATCCATACTTCAGGAGTTGTTGCTGTTCCAAAGAACAAAGAATGGCCACCTCCTGGGTCCTATAAGATGGCACTGCTTATTAGATGGGACCCAAAACATGCCAAACCTGTTGGAACTTGTGGGACAGTCAGAAACAATGAGATAGTCCCTTGGATGTGCTGACCCCATACCTTAAAGAGCTTTATAGGCAACAGATTAGGCAATAGAACCTAATTTGAATATTTATTTATATCTTCAAATTTAGTCACCGCCCATCTCACTCAAGGGCGACTCTGGGCAGTGACTAATATCTGGAAACTATTCCCGCATTTCTATGTTAAGACTGTAACTCAGCCTGATTCCCAGTGGATGTCTTGGACTATAACCACCAGTGCCCATAACAGGACTGTGCAGTGTTTTGGATTTGATTCCAAACAGGTGCTTCTGAACACATAACAGAATAAACATGGCATCAGTCTGCAATTCTTTAAAGCAAATGCATCTTTTCCTGGGAATGCATGGTTGCTGTCTATAGTTGCTCCATGGCTTTGAGAAATGTTGCAGCTGCTTTAAATAGAAGAATACTGTGTTTGCACACCTGTGTGCTCTGAAGCTCTTTTTTAGAATCAAGCCCCTAAAATCAGTATAGGTAATGGGTGGGAGAAATGGGAGATGTCCTCTATTACATTTCTTGGGAACCAGATTAGGGAAGGTTACCTGTAAGTAAATGGCACAAACATGAGCTGCTTTCCTTTTTGCTTTGCTTACTACCTTGCCTCATCTATGGAGAACTTAAAAATTATACTCCATTTTGTGTCAAAGACTTAGCCTAATAAAAATATTACTCTAACCAACACATCTACTATCTTTGCTTTTTTTGTTATTCTACTACAATACTACTCCGGAGTGAGTGTAACTTGAGTAGTGAAGTAGTACTGGGGACTACCTGTACTTTGTTTTGATTACTTTAGTAACAGATTTTCAAAGATTACTGCCAGTGATCATGCCCTTACTCCTGTGGATCCTTCAACCAGCTAGCATGTTTGTTTATCACATTTATATAGCCACCTATCTCACATAGTAATTCATTTGGCCCTGCAGATTTGAATTCATTTAAGGTAGCAGGGTGAGTTCTTACCATGCTTTTATCAGTCCTGAGCTTTGCCCCCCCCCCCATTTGCTCGGTCATGTTACAAAGGGCTTTCTCCCTTTTCTGAGAGAAAACAGATACAAAAAAAGTGTTAAGTAATTCCACCATCTCCTTATTCTTTGTCATTACTTCCTGGCCTACATTGAGCAATAGACTAATAGCTTCCCTGAGTTTCATTTTAGACATACACATTTTTTACATACTTTGCTAGTTTAATCTCATTCTGAATTTTAGGCTTCCTGACATCTTTACAGTCTTGAGTTACCAGTTGGTAGTCCCCCTTAGTAGCAGCCCACTTCCATTTTCTATATATCTTCTTTTTGCTTCCCAGCTTTTTCTGTTACTTTTTGTTCATCCATAGATAGATACTGTGCCTTTGAATCAATCTTCACTCCTGGCGACTGCCTGGACAAGTCCACGCAGTTCTTGCGGCAAGATTTTTGGAAGTGGTTCGTCTTTGCCCCCTTTCTAGGGCTGAGAGAGAGTGACTGTCCCAAAGTCACCCAGCTGGTTTTGCGCCTAAGCAGGACTAGAACTCAGAGTCTCCTGGTTTCTAACTTGGTGCCTTCAATCACTGTATCAAACTAGCTCTTTGTTCATCTAGAGGCCTTTATTTTTTATCCCATTTTTTCTTAAGGGGATTGTTTGTGCCTGTATTTTTCCCTATCTCATTTTTCAGGATCTCCCATCCCTCTTTGGCTTGTTTAGTCTTTATCATTTCAAGTCATGGTATGTTGTCTACTTTTCACCCAGGTTAATTAAAATCTATCTTCCTGAAGCCCAAGGTAGGTGACCATATGCCCTCAGCTCTTCTTCCCCCTTAGCTGCTTTCCCCACAGGTGTTGACATCTCCATTGCATCAATGAATTCCACACTGTTAGTCAGAACTGGGCCCAGGCTAAGTGACCTCTTTTGTTTCTTCTTCAACCTTCTACAAAATGCAAGGGTCAGCAAAAGAGAAATCTGTTTGACAAGTGAGTTAGCTTTCCAGCAGATAATCATGATAGCTGAAGTCTCTCATTAGGGAAAGCCTGTACTCTTGAGAACTTGGTAAGTTAATTTAGAA